GTGTGAGAAGACGTCCCAATTGGCACTCAGATTATGTTATAGAAGGTAATATTGCATACTGCCTTTTAACAGAGGACGGTGAGCCATCAACATACCAGGAGGCAATACACAGCTCAGATGTTTCACTGTGGATGATGGCGATACAAGAAGAAATCGAAGCCCTTCATAAAAATAATACATGGGACCTTGTGCCACTGCCACAAGGAAGGAAGCCAATTGGTAACAAATGGGTTTTCAAAATCAAGCGAAATGGCGACGATCAAGTGGAGAGGTATCGTGCAAGACTGGTGGTCAAAGGATATGCTCAAAAAGAAGGTATTGATTTCAATGAAATATTTTCTCCTGTGGTTCGACTAACAACAGTTCGAGTAGTTTTGGCAATGTGTGCTACATTGGACTTACATCTAGAGCAGCTAGATGTTAAAACAGCTTTTCTTCATGGAAATCTTGAAGAAGAAATTTATATGCTCTAGCCTGAAGGTTTTGAAGAAAAAGAAAAGAAGAACTTGGTTTGCAGGTTGAACAAATCTCTGTACGGTCTAAAGCAGGCGTCGAGGTGTTGGTATAAGAGATTTGATTCCTTCATTATGTGCCTTGGATACAACAGACTTAATGCAGACCCTTGTGCTTATTTCAAGAGGTCTGGTGATAACGATTTTCTTATATTGCTGTTGTATGTGGATGACATGTTGGTTGCAGGACCTAACAAAGATCATATTGAAGAATTGAAGGCACAACTGGCTAGGGAATTTGAAATGAAGGACTTGGGATCAGCAAACAAGATTCTAGGGATGCAAATTCACCGAGACAGAAGTAATAGGAAGATTTGGCTTTCACAAAAGAACTACTTGAAGAAAATCTTGTCACGATTTAGCATGCAAGATTGTAAGCCAATTTCTACCCCTCTTCCTATTAACTTCAAATTATCCTCCAGTATGAGTCCTAGCAGTGAAGAATAGAGGATGGAGATGTCTCGAGTATCGTATGCATCAGCAGTGGGAAGTTTAATGTTCACTATGATATGCACAAGACCAGACATTGCACAAGCAGTGGGAGTGGTTAGTCGGTACATGGCGAATCCAGGCAAAGAGCATTGGAATACAGTAAAGAGGATCCTAAGATACATCAAAGGGACCTCAAATGTTGCATTATGTTACAGAGGATCAAACTTACTAATCAATGGGTATGTAGATTCTGACTATGCAGGGGATTTGGATAAAAGCAAATCTACTACAGGATATGTGTTCAAAGTTGCTGGTGGAGCTGTAAGCTGGGTTTCAAAATTGCAGTCAGTTGTGGCTACGTCCACAACAGAGGCAGAATATGTAGCAGCTACACAAGCCAGTAAAGAAGCAATTTGGTTGAAGATGCTATTGGAGGAGTTTGGGCACAATCAAGAGTATTTCTCTCTGTTTTGTGACAGTCAAAGCGCCTTGCATCTAGCAAGGAATCCAGCATTTCATTCAAGGACTAAGCACATACGAGTTCAGTATCATTTCATTCGTGAAAAGGTGGAAGAAGGAACGGTAGATATGCAGAAGATCCATACCAAAGACAACATAGCAGATTTCATGACGAAGGCAATCAATGCTGATAAATTTACCTGGTGTCGATCCTCCTGTGGCCTTTCAGAAACATAAGCAACATGAAAGGTACAAGGTAGAAAGAATGGTGTGAAGATATGATTGTTCCAATCAAATTTTCAAGTGGGAGATTGTTGAAAATTGGCACACCAAATTGCATCAATTGTCAACATTATGGGTGACAATTTGGTGGCATTAATGGGGTGGCAAAATTGGTCAAATTTGGCCACCAAATTGTTGAAAATTATGGATGGTAAAACTATGCAATTAGTCATTGTAATTTAGGGTATTTACAAATTAGTCCTTAAAGCTTCAACTATAAATACCCTAGCTCATTTAGCTTCAAAACCATCCCAAAGCATTCTAGCTTTCTTCCAATACTAGAGAGAATTTAGAGAGTTTCTTGAGAGTTGTTTTCTCCTTTTTATCAAGAGAGAATTATCATTGTTTTCTCCTTGGTAGATCGAGAGAGGTTGTAATTCCTATTTTCTCATAGTGAAATTCTTCTACCGTTGCTTGTGGTTTTTACCCTAATTTTTTAGGGGTTTTCCACGTAAATTTTTTGTCTCTTTTATCTTCATTTTTATTTTCTCAAATTATCAGTTGCGCTTTTGCTCTATCCGATAGCCGTCTTCCGCAACATATCTATCTCAACATGCTTCACACAAGTATGATGAGTAGGGTTAGCGCACCATAGAGATAGCGAAGGAATTGTCACACCACACTGTCGGTTTTCCACTTAAAACCATCCCAATATCCGTGAGAAGCTGCTCAATCCAAACTAATTCTGCTACAAAATTAGCAACACTCCTATGTTCAGCCCTCCAATAATCTTCAAACGGACTTTTCATAGCCCATGCTTATTTGAACACCATGCTACAGGATTATTACTGAAGTAAATGTAATAGCTTATTGTAGAACGCTGATTTTCAACAGATGTAGTCCAATTTGCATCAGCATGGCATACCAAATCAAGGCTAGCAGAAGGCTTGTATAATAACCCATGCCCAATTATACAACGCAAGTACCGAAGAATACGTTTGACAGCCCTCCAATAATATTCACACGGACTTTTCATGTATTGACTTACTTTATTAACTGCAAAGGCAATGTTAGATCTTGTCAAAGTGACATATTGTAGCCCACTTAAAATGTTACGGTAGAGGTGAACATCGGTAAATGGTTGACCCCCATAAGCTCTCAACTTTGGAGCAACAACCATAGGTTGCAGGTGTCGAACTCGTGCGAGATATATTCGCTTTATCTAGATCAGAAACATAACGCCATTGATTGAGCAACAAACCATTGGCGCTTTGCCTTGTTTTCATGCCAAGGAAAAGTTTAATTTGGCCCATGTTCTTCAAAGAAAATTACAAGTGTATTTACTGATCCACCTAGTCAACCTCACTAGGTTTACTACCAGTGATGATAATGTCATCTACATAAACCATTAATAACAGTGTGGACTCTTCCCCATTCATGGTAAACAATAAAAAGTCTACCTTCGAGATAACAAAACCAAATTTACCCATAAGAAATGAAGTCAGAATCTTACACCATGCCCTTGGGGATTTTCGGTGACCATAAATGGCCTTCTTCAGACGACAGACCAACTTTTCTTCATTAGCACCAAATTTCTCAAACCTCGATGGTTGATTCATATAAACCTCCTCTGACAGTTCTCCATTAAAAAGGGAATTATCGATATCAAGTTATCTCACAATTCAATCTTGAAGAACAGAGGTCGCCTGAACAGTTCATATGGTGACAGCACGAACCATATGACTAAACTTCTCACGAAAGTCGGTGCCAACGACTAGAGAATACCCCTTCGCTACAAGTCGAGCCTTAAACCGCTCCACTGAACCGTTCGATTTTCACTTCACCTTAAATAGCCATTTACACCCTACGAGTTTCTATGTAGGTGGCAAGGACTGTAGCTCCCATGTACAATTAATAAGAAGAGTTGTGTATTTAGCCTGCACTGCAACTCTCTACGCAGGATGCTGTAGAGCATCAAGTACATTGGACGGTTCAACAGTATCTTCAATAAGATAAGCTTTCTGCTTAAAAATTCTCGTTTTTCCTCTAGTAACCATCATATAATCATTACAAACAATGGAAGCTTCGTGAGATAGTAGAAATGGATGTGACAATGATAGTATGGGTGATAATGATGACTGGTATGGTGATTTAGTAGATTAAAGAGTATGAGTGGATGATGAATGATGTGATGGTAAAAATGGAGATGCATTTTGAATAGGTGATGAATGTAGTGACGCTAACAATTATGACGCATGTGTTTGCATGAACGATGATGAATGAATGAATTATGATGATGATGAATGGTGTGGAGATTGAATGGGTGATGACGATGAAGGGTGGTGTAATGATGGGGATGAATATGATGGGAGAGCAATAGAAGGAATAGTAGATCCATGTATGATATGAGTAGAATCATTGATATTTCTGGACACACACTTATCATGACATGTACTGTGACCTGAACTATGACCTTGACTTAGGGAACTTAACACTCTATCTTTGTTATGACATAGTTGTGTAGTACCCTAGATTGACTCTAGAATAAACAATGGAATTTAGAACATTGTGACCCAATGGACAAGACGCTGTCTTAAACAATGGTAAGGATTTTATTGACACAGATGGTAAAGCACCTGACACACTAAGTTGATCAGATCTAGTACATTGACCACCTCTAGCATAAGGTAATATATTTTCATCAAACCTGATATGCCTAGACGCATACATTCTTCCATTAACATCAAAACACTTGCACCCTTTACAAACTGGGGAATATCCAAGAAAAACATACGAAAATTATCAAAATTGAAGTTTATTTTTGTCGTAAGGTCTCAGAAATGGGTAACAGACACACCCAGAGACTTTTAACAAAGAATAATCTAGAACAGAATAAATTTTTTCATGAGGTGATATACCTAACAAAGCCTTGGTGGGTAATCTGTTGATCAGAAATATCGCACTCGAGAACGCTTCACACCAAAACTTTAGAGGCATCGAAGCTTGAGCTAGGAGATTAAGTCCTACCTCAACGATTTGACTGTGTTTGCGTTCGACCAGGCCATTTTGTTCTTGGGTATGTGGACACGAGGTTCGGTGAACAATCCCTTGATCCTTGAAATATGACTTAAGGGCAGTTAACTCACCTCCGCAATCTGTTTGCAAAATTTTTAACATGACACTGGGTTATTTTTAAACCTTATTATGAAACTGAATAAATACATCTTTTACCTGAGACTTAAACTACAAGAAATATAACCATCTGTACCTAGTACAGAATCAGTGAATGCAACATAATATTTAAAATTACTAGAGAGAATAGGAGCATATTCCCACACATACAACAAGCTCTAAAAGATGTTTATACTTTGTAAGAGAAAGAGCAAAAGGAAATTTATAAAATTTACCATATTGACATGTTTTACACATAACAAAATCATCATTTTTATTAGCGTGAATAGATGTATTACATTTAGACAAGACTGCTTTTAAAACTTCCAAAGATGGCTGACCCAACCTTTGATGCCAAGTATTTAAGGAAACATCATTAATAGCAACAAAGCAGGAAGTATCATTTGTAACATCAGTATTATTCTTAGTAAATTGATGACTCGTATTTTGAGTATCAAACCTATACCACCCATTAGCTTTATATCCCAGCAAAAGAACTTCTCTAGAATCTAAATCATGAACTAAACAAGACTTAGGTAGAAAATCAAGCGATACCTTGTTTTCCTGTGTGAATTTAGATACAGAAAGAATATTTTTATTTATAGATGGAACAAAGTGAATTTTGCTTAAAATAAACCTTCTAGAGTTAGCAATAAGAGAAGATTGGCCAATATATTTTATTGGTAACATGCATGCTTCCATTACCAACTTGTACGCTACCTGTTCTAGGACATGTTGAGCCAATCTATAGATTATTGAGATCATTAGTAAGATGATGCGTTGCCCCATAATCTGGATACGAAGCCCACAACCTTAGGAGTTGCTAGCTGGATTTAAGCAACACTAAAAGCTTGAGCAGTGGAAGAAAGATTGGATGAATTTGCAGCAACATGTTGCTGCACCTGAGAACCTACTGAAGAGTGAGGGAAACCATAATTAGTAGGGAAAAATAAAGCATTAAAAGGATTAGTGGTTACACCACCACGAGCATTATGAGTACAAATATTCACTTGAGCAGGCGAATTGTAAACCCTAGTATTTTGTGTGTTTTGAATAGACTCGTTCTTATAATTCATATCAAAATGATAATAGCACTTGTCAACTAAGTGACCCATTTGGCCACAAAGTTGACACTGAGGCCTCAAGGTATTTCTACCACCACAACCCCTTCCTCTGTTATTGTAGTTATATGAAGTGTTCCCATTGACAACATTATCATGACCAGAATAGCTAATGGAACGACTATCTTGAGCACTAGCAGGTTGTGAAGATGGTTGCTGAGTCACAACATGAGCAGAGGCATAAAAAGATTCAAAACTATTGATTTTTCTGGGCATCAGCATCCAAAAGGATTGTACTAATAGCAAGATTAGATAAAGCAGCACTAGCAGTAATAACAGTGACAATAGATTCATACTCAGGAGGAAAACCATTAAGAATAGCAGTGTATGTTCTTGTTCTGAAATAGTCTCCCCACAATTAGCATGGTTATCAAAAATATTTTTTTATTTTCATAAAAAACTCCCTCATACTTAGCTCTCCTTTTCGCTGAGAATGCAAAAGTCATTTATATGACATCAACCTAGATGTATTACCACTATATAATCAATGCAGAGTATTCCAAATATCCGATGCAGTGTTCAAACCACTAAAATTCAAGATTTATGTTAACCACATTATTATTAGTAACATACTGAGGTGGAAATGCAACTCTATTGTCTATAAACCTCAACAATCTATGAGTTTTTAAAGTCAAGTAGACTTGCTAATGCCACAAAAGATGTTATCATCAAGCACAAGTACATTAATTTTTTTTAGTGGAGAACAATTTACTAGAAGGCAATTGAAGAGTATTACAAATGTCACTATTGTCAACCCCTAACTCATATACGTATCCAAATTCAAGTTAAAGATGTCAAATCAATCTTTCAAAATATTTTCTATTCAAAAACCAGTAAAAGTTGTTTAAAAAAAATTCCAAATTAACATTTATAAACAAACTAATTAATCGCATAAAATGATAATGTAATATTTTAACTTCCAATTCAAAACCAATTTCAGGCAACAAGGCAATTCAATATTGCTTGATATCATAAATAAAACTACCTAAAAACATCCTAATTTAAAATTCAACCAATTGCTATTTAAAACATAGTTTAATAAAAATACTATTCATTCATGCTAATAATTTTACATAATATTACCCATATTAAGGCAATGTTAATTTAATATTACAAAACTATTTTATAACTATCCTATCAGAGCAACTAGAACATTTATAATATACATGCCACTAAATATGTCAAAGTAACATCAAAATTGTATGTCGATATAATTCCATAAAAAGAGATGCTCGATATGCTCCTCACTCCGCAACTTTATCCTTTTCTTTACCTACGCGTGAAATAATTACACGCTAAGTATATACTTTGTGAGACATTAATAATCAAAATATCATATGTAAATATCAAATATCATAATAAAATAAAGTACAGAAAAATATCATCTAAAAATATATAATTGTATGAAAACGACTTAATAAAGTCATTCTTCATCATAAAATTTGAAATCAACCTTTCTGAAGTTTATCAATTTATGCTAAATCCATTAAGAATGTTCGAAGAAAGTTATACTTTCAATCGAACAAATCAAACCTACACTTTACACATTTATTCAATTTACAGCCCACTATAAACTAAATGAGAATATATGATACACAAGTTATATGAGTATTCACATATTGTACTTTTAGTGCCAGACAGACGTACATGTATTGTAAAACACAATATCACTGTACTATAATTCAGAAGTATCATAATGCCAAAATCTTATGCACCATGTATTATTCACTCTATAGTACCATAGTCCAATATCTGACGACTATGTAATTAATGCAACTACGTACCAAACACCAAAATCAGACGTGCTAGTACATAATCATTCAAATATCAAATACTCAATATGAATAATAATATCAAAGTATTATATAAAAATGCAATTGGACAGTTCATACCCAAAATCATTCATATATCATTTCAAAAATCATTATGAAAAAAAATTCATAATATTATTTAAACTTTTTTCATTTCAAACACCAAAGGTTGACTTATCATTAGTCTTCCTCGTATCATATATATAAGATAGGTAATAATGCACTCATCTTAAATGTCTCGTTATCAAACCTTTAATGTCGATAAACCTTCACTTTCATACTTTTTCCTTTGCTTTTTATTTACTTTGATCTCGTTTATCGTCACGATATATACAAAAATCTTATTACACATTTCAAAGCACTTGTTGGTATCTTTACTAACATGATAGGTGCACATTAGCATAAAAATTGCTAAAAATGTCATTAATGCATATTCTATACAAATTCCCTTTTTCCATGATAAATGTCAACTTTAACTCTTTTTAATAACTTTTCAATTCCCTGAAAATATTCATCCTTAGCAATAATTCACAAGACTTTTCAACATTCTACATTTACCCACTAATAAACATTTCTTGAAAATTTATCCCAATATTTCAAATTCATTAAAAATGATCCCTTGCCATTTCACTTTAAATCCAATATCAATTACCCATTTCAAGCATTCTAACAATGTATTCAAACTAGTACATCAACATTATACCAATTTCCATTTCAAGCCCAACTTTCATACATTTCACATTTTGGTCCCTAAACTTTAACAAACTTCTAAAATGATCCAAATCAACCTTTTAACATCAAAATCAACATTCTAACATTCAATTCTAGCATAGTACATTAACTATTGAACAACTTCACTTTAATCCCCAAATTTTACAAAATATATGAATAAGTTCCTATACTTTCACAAACTTCTACATTGGTTCAAATCCCATTTTAAAGCATGTAGAATCATTCTTATTTCAATTAATTATATCCCTTAAGAAATTTTTTTTATATTTCCCCCTCTTTTTCCACTTAGGCTGAATATCAAGGGGTATATTTTCTATGATTTCCAATTTGATCCAAGCATTAATTCAACCTCTATTTATCATTTCCATGCAATTCCAATCATTTCCTTATCAAATTCAATCCAAAATAAAACTTTCCTACAAACCCTAGGCTTAACCGAATCCTTATACATGTATTTCCAAATGGTTTTAATCATCACGCATGCTTGAAATTGAATCTACAACATCAATAATATCAAATTCCAACCTTAAACCATTGAATTTCAACTTTCTCTTCATCCACCCTAATCACCAAACCAATGATCCAAGCAATAAAAACATTATCTATTTATACCAAATGATAGAGAATTTAATGTAGATTATTTATCTAGTCCACACTTTAATCCAAAAATCAACTCAATAAGCTTAGAATGAAAAAAGAATTCTTACCTTTGGTTATGGAGGTCAGGTCTACAAGGGGAAGAAGATGAGCAAATTCTTGATTATTTTAATAAAAAAATATCTTAACACGTGTCTTAAAACTAAATAAATGAATATAAATTCATTTAATGCAAAATTACCTTTTTACCATTACTAAATCATGATAATTACCACTATGTCATTACCATGACATCATTCCTCACATCATCATCCTTACATCATCTATGAACTAATATTTTATTACCTTCCATCTTTATTCTTGCATTTTTCCAAAAAATACAATGTTGTCATTTTAATTTAAATCCAATGATCCATGTTAAATTATACTAAATAAAAATATGGAAATGAAATTATTAACCTTTGAATGTCATCCTTCAAATTTTCCTAAATTTTTATTCGATCCGATTATCAGATTATTTTACAACTTTACCGCTTAATAGCTTTTAATACATTCTTCGGATAAAAAATATGAAACTCGTGAAAACGTCATTCTTGGGAGTGAACTATTCATTAATGAGGCCAACATAATAACTTCTAAATATTACACTTTGGTCCCTAAAATTTTATGAAGTTTTTACTTTGAACACTAAACTTTCAAAATTTACATTTTGGACACTAACCAAAATTTGGGATATTACAAGCAGCATGCGGTTGAACATCATTATCAATCTCTTTATTGGCCATGAAGATAAACGATCAAGGCAAGCAAAAGAAACCAGATCAAACACAATAGCTAGAAGGAGCGATCAAGTACACAAGAATCGAAATAGATAAGAGTAATAGATACCAAGGCTGAACTTTATACAAGCGCAAAAGAATAAATCAATCAGAAGATCAACTAGTTGAATATCACAATCAATCAAGATATTTATGAGACCAATCAGTAAGCATACCACTTGAATATCATTGTAAAGCTTACAAAATGAGATTTAAAGAGATGGTCGATAATGAACTGAAAA